GAAACGTGATCCCCAGCAACACAAATTGTGCTACAAATGTAATGAACCAACATGGAAACCTCTACAATCTCCTTATACTTGGGCGGGTTCGTCATGTTCTCAGAGATGTACTTCACGGTGTTGGACACAGTCTCTGGAGGATACTGCTGGTGCTCTCCTCCAAAGCCCGGCGCATTGGGCGGGGCATGATCGCCATAGCCGAAGGATTGCTTCCTCAAACTCCGAACTTGACTTCAACATAATTGACTTACTTTGCATGTCATGTAAGTTGTGTGTCAAGGGCAATCCAGTCCTCATTTTCTCTCCATGTCCAGCCGCAGCACGCAGCGGACGTGCTGTCCGCAGCCCCAAGCGTCGCACAGAGAGGCGCAACATGTCTCGAGCGGCACTCAAGTGGTCACTCTAGAGCTGCAGCTGCGGCTGAGCCAAGAAGGAAATGTTTGGCAAGAAGGATAGTCAGAGTCAGTGGCTTGAGAATCCGGCTAGACGGCCTAGCGCCTATGAAATGCAAAGTCCAAAGGATACTAAAAGGGCTGCAGGTTGCGGGGCTTTGGGCCACCAGCTCAGCGTTGCGATAGTACCTACATTCAACCTTACAAGTGTGTCCCTGATTGTCCGTGAGAGGTTCAGCGGGCAGGGTCTTCTGAAAAGCCTCCGATTGCTTTACGCATCAGCTACATAGCCAAACGACTGCAACAACTGTGTGTGACACCTGTCAACAAGCACACACCGTACCAGTCTCACAGAAGGATCGCATCAAAACTAATTAGCTTAGCAAATTCGACCAGCATAGTCTGCAAACCAAACACACACACACACACAACTCTTTTGACATGTCAAAGGCAGCAGCGCTCTTGAAATCAACTTGTAACGAAGAGAGGAAGTAGCGTGCTGTATGATGAAGGTGCCCAACCCGAACAAAACAAAACATGTATCAATTCTAGTCTGTTAAATTCGGGTCCTGCAAGCACAGTGGAGGAAAGTCATTGGGATTCATATGTCTGCAAGGGGCTGGGCAACCCTCGTGACTTCTAGCGGCCTAGCG